GCTCTGTAAATGATCTTCCTATTCCATGATTTCCCTTTCCAGCGGTCCCATATTGGTGTCTTTAGCAAGCTTGTTTAGGTATGTACCTTCCCCCATTCATGTGTTTTTTTTATTATATGGCTTGGTACCATAACACTGTGTAGCTATGCAGGTCAATGGAATGTGCCTGGACAATGTGGACGGCAGTGATCAGCAGGTGCCCTGCTTTGGCGTGTCTGAGGTCTGCACCCGGCTCCCCAACAGGGCATCTCCCACATGCTGGGCAGCCCTGCAAATCCGCTCAGATATTTTTTGCAGATCATGAAATTGTAAGTACTGAAAGTGTCTCTCTCCCGTTTTGCAGCTTCCTTTTCTAATCTTAATTAATTTCTTTATTTCCCCTGCTGGTGGCTGGTTGATTGAGCTATCTTGTTCTATCACGAGGAATTACCCACAATTCTGAGCCGGTACAGAGGAATCAACTTTTTGCTCAAATAAACCCCAAATAAACAAATAAAGGATTTGGAATCATCTTACAGGTGTCCATTACTATATGTGCTTTTACACCTTTAATTACTCAAGCGAATGCACATTCATCAGGGGCATTAACTGTGACGTGGTCATATCACTTCCTGAACTAAATGTTTTAAGGATCCCCAAGGCTCTTAAAATTCTGCCTTAATGGTTTCCAGCTCAAATGAGTTGAGCGCATTAAGCATAGACGCCTTGATTGGGCTGGGAACAAAGGCTTTCCCCCAGCGCAGGATATGCAGAGTGCCTGCGGCCATGCAGATACAGTAACATGCACCCCATCAGCTCGTCTGCAGCATTTGACCAAACCCCAGTGGACCTCTGGCCCACCAAACTGTTGAGTAAATAGGTGGTTTTGCTTGGTCAGTGTAATCAGAGCTGTCCATTTACATTTTGTTCGTTTAGTATATGCTTTTATCCAAAGCAACATACTGTTGCGAAAGCAGAGTCAGACAGTCCCTAGAGCAACTGGGATTAAGGGCCTTGCTGATGGTGAACTCACTTTGCCAACCCTGGGATTTAAACCAGCAGCTTTCTGATCACAGACGCAGTGTTCTAACCCACTGAGCTGCACACCACCCCTAGCCTGGAAGAGGCAGCTCTTGGCTGCCTGCGATCCCCATTGCTGCCTCTTGGTCGTTTCCACTTTAGTGGCTGTCCACATAATTTCTACCCGGGAGGAGAAGCGAAAATACAAAAAATACAAACAGCCCCAAGCATCAAGGCTGCCATGGTACAGACCGGACAGTAATAAATTTCAGCCTTTTCCATGGGCGGATGATATGAAAGAGCTGAAACCCTGTTTCAATTCCCCCGTATTCATCTCTCACTCTATGGCGATGTCAGTCGGCCTGCCGCTGTTCTTTATGGCTAAATGACACTATCTGCAGTCGAAACAGCCTGCTGGCATCTAGATAGAAGCTCAGCTTCGCCCGCGGCAATGATTCAGCTCAGCTGGAGCGGAAAGTCGATGATCCTGTCCCCCTCCTCCCCCCCCCAGCCCCATTGATCTTGACAAATGTTTGGAGTTGCTTTTAAAAACTAATCATTCACTCCTTTACTGTATTGACCTACCAGATGGTCACAACCCTGCCTGGCATTGAACTGAGAAGACTGACTTTCCCACAGTACTTAAATCAGACCCTCCTCGTGAAGAAAGAGAGAGATGAGCCGGCTTCTGGACCATGCTGGCTACTCACGCCGGACATCTGACACGACTCCTGACAGATTCCCTTACTCTAAGCGAGCGAATTTGCCTGTTTGTTCCCACCGAGATGGTAAACAAAGCAGTGCAAAGCTTGTCTAATTGACTCTGCATCTCATTAGCTCACCTAATCAGGTCAACAGCCTGCCCCTGCCCCCACTCTACCCTCAGAGACTCTCTATGGCAGGATTGGACATCAAAGGCATCAAGGAAATGAATGATTACACAATGGAGCGGCTATGGCATTGCACTCTTTCATGGTAGGTTCCCATGCCCTCGTTACACCTGCACCCCCCGCCACGGGCATTGTGTTTGTGGGGCCAAAGCCAGAGCTGCATTTTCTACCTCTGCCTCACGGCTTACGTTGACTTTGTGTCTGCGACTAACACAAATTTAACCCTCTTCTCCTGCAGATTAGAGGCAATAATGCAAAAACACAGTGGATGGATGGAATGTGGGAAAAAAAACTGAATGCGGGCACCAATCTGTGGGCACACCCAGGGTTATTTTGCCTGCCGTGCAGGACTGTCGGAGGGGCATGGATACCCTGGCAGACTCAAGGGGCCCGGCACTTTACAGGGGCCCCCAAATACGACAAAAATATATATGTATCATAATAATAATAATGCGCAGGATACATTATATATCCACGAGAGACCCCCCCCCCCCCATTATGTCAAGGGGGGCCAGTACTTTTAGCATGGCTGTGTGTCTGTTTGTGAGCAGACTAATTACTTCTTGGTTATCCACACAATAATTAAGATCCTGAAGAGTATTTCAAATATTACGTATTTTGCACTGTTATTCCATTATCACTACTCATTCATTCATTACCTCAGCGGTCTTAAACAGGCCATTTTACCACTGTAGTCGGTTAGATGTGGGTAGATGTAGTGAATCGTGAGAATATGTGTCAAATTCCATTGCTTTTTTTCCCTTTACATCAATATTTCTTTGAAAAATTGACATAAATGAGAGAGTACGACCCGATCTGATGAGAATGGAGGCTGTCAGTTAAACGCCCGCTGACAGGTTGTTCTTGATTAAAATCTCTGCCTTACTAACAGCGTCTTGGGATGCTGCTGGCAGACCCTACATGTATACATCTGGTCTGAATTAAATTATACACCGTCGAGCATCTCCCCTCTTCTCACTCATCCAGAAGACAAACATCTCTGAGAGAGGAAGGCAAATCTCGTGGCTGGTTTTACTGAAAAGGAAACTAAAAAATTGGATGGCTGTGACCACATTGTTGGGTCTGATGCATGGTAGGAAATCGGTGTCCGGTGCCCTTTTCTCAGAATAATCAGTGCGACGTTCAGTCATTCCACAGAAATGACACACTCCCCTGGTGACAGTGATTACAGGGCAAAAAATATCTGCTGGGATTTATTCGACAAGTGTGACTCACTAAGATGGATGTGCGTGTGTGTGTATGTGTGTGTGCGTGTGTGTGCGTGTGTGTGTGTGTGTGTGTGTGTGAGCAAATGATTCAATATAGAGGAGCCATACTTACGCTGCCAATTTAACACAGACATACTAGGCATACCGATCTGCTTTCACGCGGCAATGCACAGGGTTTAGCAATTGGCTTTCATTTATTACAGCACATGCGGTGAATGAAGCATCTTTGCATGTAACACATGGGGATTTTATATAAATAACTGTCTTAGAAAGAAACATCATGTAAATATATTGGCAACCTCTTATCAGTGCATACACTAAAAAAGTGTTTATCAACCCTGTCCTCAGGGACCCCCAGACACTGAGTTGAGAGCTGGGAGGGAGCAAAAATGTGACTATTTGGGGTTCCCGAGGACTGGGTTGATAAACACTGTGCTAAAATACATCATCGCTGTCTGATGAAAACGGTCCATTTTTTGATGACTGTGACTTTTTACTATAGACGGCACCCATTCTCATTTTTGCATTATTCTCTCTTAATGATGTTGCAATGTATCACAACACACCCAAGTAAAGCACCTGGGGGCAACTGTTGTGAAAGGAGCTATATAAAAATAAACAAATTTGCCGACCAGGGGGGAGGGGTCCCCTAGGTAGATTTTGCCAATATTTTTTTTCTTATTAGTCAATATCGATAATTATCTTGATATAATTCAAGTCTTTATTTCTTTACTTCAGGGCACCATTTTTGCTTAAAATTCAGTTAAACAGATTCACGACATGAAAAAGTAAAACTGGAATCTAATTTTAATAAATAAATCATAAAAAAAAACAACAGTATGATGTGTTGCTGAGTTTTTTCTCTTGCCGCCTTGCTGCTTCTTCCAGGAAACGGGTTTGAAATCGCTGGTAGAGTTACCATCCATCACGTAATGAAAAATAAAATGCTGTGTCCTGTTTATAACCAATGTGGGCCTCGATTTGTCCTATTTTCTTCAGATTGAAAGTGGAAATTCTAATTCCTGGTGTTTGTGACTGTAAGCGCTTGCATTCCGTGTGTTCTCCTGGATGGCAGTGTTTCAAGGGGTGAAATAAGTTCATAATATTTTCAGGCACCAGGTTTTGGCAGAGATTACAATACACAGGAGCAGTCTGTTGCGTGTCTGACTTTAAACTACTAAAATTACCACCACACCACCAATGTCTTTTTACGTTGTTTATCCACAATATCTCCAAGATGTTGTGACTGCTGATCTGTCACTTTCTTCATTGTAGTTTCCTCTAAGGAAATGACCTAAACAGTGGCATACGGCGTGCTCCGCTAACTCAATCAACCTTGCCATGTGTCTGTTGGTCATAGGTTGTCCGGGTTTCAAAGACGACCATAAGATCGTTTCAAACTGCATTTGTTTCTCTGTGTACTGCCAAAAGATATGTGCTTTGCTGATAGTTTATTGAAGTTTTTAATTTTCTTATTATGTAAAATTTATATGTTGATATGTATCATTATAATTATAAATTTCACCGACCAGGAAATTTTACCGGAGGGTGATCAGGTTCAGTGATATGGCCCATTTCAGACCAAACCCTGTGTCCCTGCCCAATTCTGTAGCTGAGGACCAATCGTACTACTTAAGATTTATATCCATGATGGTTGTTTACATAAATTTTATATCACAAATTTCAACAACTTAACACTGACTGCTAGCTAAATAGTATCATTGTTGATTAAACATAATTGTATGATTATACATAATGGCTCTTAAAAAGATATCTGCAGCACACAGTGGAACCAAAAATATTAAATAATGAGTAACCAATAGCATCATGGATTGCAGTGATGTCATTAAAGAGTAGACGTGGCCAGGGGCTCTATACTCACCCAAGAGGCTTTTCTAGCCGACTGGCTGGCGACCCCACAATCTCACCCAGGGTGCAGAACATCTGGCCCAGGAAGTCCTGGGAACAGGAGAGGGCCGGGCAGCCATGGGACCGTGGGGTCCGGAAGGAGCGGGGAGACGGGACAGAGGCGCGGTCAGAGCATGGCAGGGTGGCCCACAGCCCGGCGAACGGTAATGAAGATTACAAGAGCAAAGACGTACGTTGAATTCGTGGGGCTTCCGGACGAGAGGCAGGCAGCAGCGGTAACACAACAGAACACGTCATGTGACAGGAAGCACGAGACGTAAATACGGAACGGCAGTCATAGGAGGGCAAGAGAGGCAGAGGAGAGGCTGGCATGTTCCATAGACGATGAGCGTTAGTAAGACAAGACACATTTACAGGAGCTCACACCGCAGGAACACCCCCGTTATGGATGTGTGCAAAGCCGTGATTGCACCCAAATATATTTCTGTTTTCATTTGAAAGTATAATATGAATATGTCTCTTTATCAAAGCTTTGTGCGTTGAAATGTTAGAATACATTGGTGATAGTTTTGGCACATATATAGTCATTTGTCATTTAGCTGTACCTGTGTATGGCATTCGACAAGCTCTGATAAACAGAAAAAAACGCCTGCACTTCCGAACTAAGCTAAATGAGAGATGTGGAGTGAGGCATTTCACAGGATGTGCCTGTGAAATCAGTCTACTAACACAATATTCTAAAAGACATGACTTGATAAAAAAATCCATTACAAACATTCATTACCAAAAGAGGACTTTTTTACCCAAGCACCATGACACTCAATGTTCAGTTTATTAGGTCCACCTGCCTGCTAATGCAAACAGGCTGCTTCTCCGAGCAGCCAATCACGTGGCTGTAACTGAATACATACAGCACAAGACAAGGTCAAGAGATTTACATACCTCTCAACTGAGCATTAGAATGGGTAAGATGCGTGATCAAAGACATTTTGAAATCAGTACAATTGATAGTACCATACATGGTGCCCCAGCATCTCAGAAACAGCCACCTGCCAGGAATTTCCACACACCACAGAGTCCAGAGTTTACAGAGGATGGTGTGATGCACAAAAAACATCCAGTCAATGGCATCTCTGTGGCCGAAGAGACACCTTGTTAATGAGAGAGGTCACAGGAGGATGGCCCGGCTCGTTACAGCTAACAAGAAGGCCACGAGTGTAAAAACAACAACTCTGTACAGCAGTGGTGTGCAGAAAGGCTTCTCTGAACAGATAACTCATCTACCCTTGAAACAGTTCTGGAGGAAAAAGTGGGTTCTACCCAGTAATAGCTAGATGTACCTAATAAAGTGGCCACTGAGTGTATTTCCATTTTGAAATATATTGGGTAAGGTGGCAAATATTGGTTTGCACAGATCCAGACCAGGATCAGCATGCATTTCAAAGGAAAAGCTGCTAATCAGAAGGGTTTCCAGCAGGCAGCCTTTGCAGGCCCAGACTCACATGTTTTGACAGATCCGGACTTTTGGAGTCCACATCGTACCTATAAGGGGAGAGGGAGACACGGCTTCACAAGGCCTGAAAGCTTACCAGGCTTCAAAGGGCTCAAGCCTTCATTTCTTTGCCTAAAGACTAAAGAACATGACGAATGATTCTAAAAGAAAGTCAGTAAGTTGCATGACCAGAGCAATGTGTTTCGTCCATAAATAAAGCATCATCATTAAAAACAATAATTACACCTTTGCAGAAGTACATAGTCAGAACAACACATGAGTAGGCGTCCTCCCATCTTGCCAGTTAGCTTTGATTAGTTTGTTCAGTTGATTGATTTAGCTGTAATACTATTTTTGGGTCACACACCCCCAGAAGAACTTGTCTGCTGTCTATTTGGAGTGCAGCAATATTTAAATAAATGTTAATTGTGCCACAGAAGGCACCAGTCTACTGGAACATGACAGATATGAGCATAGAGTTCACTCCCCTGTCAAGGTCTGATTTATAGCTTCCAAACAAGATGGTTTCTCTGTAGTACATTTTTGCACTCGTCCCTTCAGCATTAGATGAGGTAAATGGACTGTGGTTGAGCATGAATGGGCTGCAGGCTCTTTAAGTGGTTTCCAAACACCACCGACCCTCCAACACACTCAATGGGAGAGAGAAACAGAACTCAGTCAAGGGATTAACTCACAAGTCAAAGCGAAGATTCTGCTTCTCCTCAAAGAAGTAGTCCAGGATATACTTCCTGACGAAGTCGGGGTTCAGTGTGTTGTCAATCACTTCTGTTCTCCCGAACTGAATGGTTTGAAGGGAAAAAAGAGATGAGTCATTAAGAGCATGTGTGTGTGTGTGAGAGAGAGAGAGGATTAGGCCTCATTACAGACTCATAAACTGGCCGGTCATCAAATCGGGAGACTCTGCCGTTTGATGTTGTGTGGGATAACATCCTGTGTTACGGCGCCCAATAAAATGGCGAGAGAGGGAAGCAAAGCAGCCCGCTGGCCCCTCCCCCCTCCAACTCAATGCTTGAACTCAGCCCAGCGGAGGCGGACATGCGGCCGCTTCACAGGCCGGCGGAGCACGAGGGCCCCGGGGCCCGCCTTCTTATTCCAGCTGAGCATCCGCACCCTGCAGGGTCCCACAGGCTGGGTGACACACTCTATCATCGCAACACTACAGAATTAATGGGATTTCTCCTTTAATCGTGTGCACAGGCGGTCCGAGGCCCACAGAGCGCGTGCTGCTTACTCATCCGTCCTCCATTTTGGGAGGACGATGTCATTAGCGCCCCCTTACCTGTGCTAACCATGCAGCACAATGCAGTCAGCAATCCCAACATTCACGCCGCTGGCCAGAGCAGGTCCATGATCTCATCGATGGGACACTCCTATCAGCATGTCAGCCTTTGCTTTTGCACTCGAGTTGATGATTAATTATTCAGCATGAATAACATACGGAGTTCAAAAACAAATGGGTGAATCAAGTCTGGGCTTCCAGACAAAGGGAATACAACTGCTGATCCTGAGAACAGACTCTGAGAAAGACAGGAATCACATGCGCCGCCCCCATGCTAGAACCACAACAAATGTGCTTATTTTACTGGCTTAAGAAGAAGCCAGAGGTGTTCTAATTGTTCTTTGACAAGAAACAAGCTAGCCACTAGATTCAACAGCAACCCTAGGCTGTCAAGATTTTTAATAATCTGTAATAACTGACACTGTTGTTTCTTCTGGGTATTCTTTTCTAATTATGTAATACTTTATGGGCATGAAATGCTTGGTTTTAACTATGCATCCGTTTAATTAAAAAAATTGGGCACAAGGTCTGTGCAAACAAAAATTACACAAAAAAAAAAAGAAAATGTCTGCCCGCTCATGCTTGTTTTTATATGCAGAGACATTCTGTAATTGCATGTGCAGGAAAACAAGGCAGACCTTGTAAAGTTAAATTCAGCTAATTATTTCACACGTAACTGACATTTATTGGGGGTCTTATGCTTTGATGACTCAAAGAAACCAAAAGCGCCAGCCAAAAAAACACTGGTTACAGCCCGAAGGTCAGCTCTGCATCAAGGTGGCCAGACAAACGTTATCCATCATACCATAAAGTCAAACTTAATGAGTTATTGATTTCAACCAACCAAGTCAATTGAAGCAAATTAAATACCCCACTACTTGCAGAGGTCTCCCCAACATACATTTTGACACTATGAACCAATAAAGCACATTTCCTTGGGTTTATGCTCTTGCTGCGAGCATCTTAGGGTCGAGGCAGAGACGCCTACAAAAGGCTGCATTTCTCACTCATTACTCTTCTTCATTCTTTTAAGTACAACGTGGTTTGTCTTCCAGCACTGGTCTTTCTCCGCATTTAAAAGTAATAAAAAACTAAAACGCCATCTTGAGGCACTTCGCGTCGACCCGCTATTCCGTCGCCGTGGCGATGAGCGCGCACAATTACAAATTCGCCGAGACACTGACGCCGAGTCGATTGAAAGATCCCGAGGTGCCCCGCGGAGGGTGGGGGCAGGTTTGATGCTACTCTGTGCTCTGGCCGCTGGACAGCAGACTGGGTACATTAGATTAGGAGTTCATTAGGCAGCGGCGAGCAGTGGGGCAGTATAATGAGGATGCCGCGGAATCCTTGGCTCAGCCTGCACACATGAACAAAAGCCAAAGCCAAGAAAATACCCACCCCAGCCCACCCCAGCTCTACCTGCCAGTGCAAACCGGTAGAGGGTCCTCCGGTGACAGCCGCAGCTCCCTGTCACCGCGTGGCTGCCGCCAAGCGTTCCTGCCCACATGTCACCATAGCGTGGGCTGCAAAAGCAGTCTGGCCAGCCCTCGTCGTTCCCATCTGTTCCACGCCATTTGTTTTTACAGACTGTGACATGCAGATCATCGCCGCTATTTTGAGCCCGTATGGACCACTGATGTACACATATAGCTGCTCGGCGTCTCTTCGGACGCATAGCATTTGGCCTTGAGTCCTACGGCAGCACCAATACCTGACGCGCCAATGTAAATGACTAACGATTGCAGCTGATGAGTTAATCAGGTCATTTTTTTTCCCTCTCTGTATCATTCCCAGAGTTCCCAAGATTGCATGCCTCTTCCTCTCCCACAAATAAACGCATGCCAATCAGAGCTCTGCGCCGCAATGGTGGCACCAGGGTAATGAGAGTGAGTGGGCAGCTGTCAAGCAACGAGTGAACAGAGGGGGAACTCTGCGGCTCCGCCGGTGCTTTCAGGCTGCGAGGATATTGCGTTATCTGGCATTAGGTATCAACAGCAGCACTCGGGAAGCGTAAAAGCTACTCGGCTGGAAATCGACGCCAGCCAGCAGCAGGTTGATGTCTGTGACGAGCAAGACAGAGGAGTCTGATGCCCATGAAGAGCCACGGAATTAGAGGGAGAAGGAAATGTCACACTTCCTGAACTTTGAAAGCAATAACAGGGAACTCAAGACCATATTAAGCCACAGTGTTGTAAACAGTTTCCCTGGGCCCATTAGAAAGGGTTTGCCACTCTCTTTGACTTGAACATTCACTATGCTGATCATTTAAGCAGCACAAATGTGGTATTCATCTAAGAAAAAAAATCAGCATGCTAAGGCTGCTTATCTTTCATCAGATGCTTGCTAGTTCAAATCCCAGTGTTGGCAGAGTGATGTCAGCATTGTGTCCCTGAGCAAGGCTCTTAACCCCCAATTACTCCATAAAGTGTCTGATCCTGCTTTCCGAAAAAACATACATTACTTTGGATGAAAGCATCTGCTAAATAAATAAAATGTAAACCCAGCACATTGTTTACTGCACGAACAGCTACTTTCATTCACCATACTTTTGATATCATGTGATTTAGCTGCTGAAGGGCACTCGTACCACACGTGACTTCCTGTCTGCGATCAATTTCAAAAATGTATTATAAAGGCAATTGATGAGATATCTTCATCAGATTTGTTCTATGTACTCAGTGGTTATCAAAGTTTTTAATCACATTGCAAACAAAGGTAGGGGACATCACTAATCTAAAGCAGAGGATCACTGATGCCATTGCCACAGCGAATGCTACAGCGAACTTGGCAAGAAATCCAGTACCGTCTTGATGTGCTTCATGCAACTATCCATCCATCCATCCATCCATCCATCCATCATCTTCCGCTGGATCAGAGGTCTATATGGTGCCCATGTAGAGGTGAATTAAATGAGGCAAAAAAAACTTAAATACATACGTCTCATTTTGTAATAATTTCCACATATGTGTCTTTTCATTTGCCTTTGTAATAAATTTTTCAAATTGTAAAGAGACTTTATGGACACCCTGTATATCCTGAGTCATTCTCATGACTGTTGTGAGTCTTACGTTGCACAAAAACCAGGGCATGGGTCTTTAAGGGGCTCATGGTGAAGATCACGCACTCTCTCACTCATTGGAGAATGTGCAGTGATTCAAGGAGGACAATCTCAACCAGGGCTGGTCAACCAATTATGCAACACAGGCAGCTGGCTAGGACACCGTCTTGTGAGGGGGCGCCACAACTCCCCGGCAAGCACCAGCACCTCCTCTGACACTGTCAGGACAAAGTGATAGTGCTGGAGTTTGCCACAGAGCGGGGAGGAGGGGCTGCCAGCGGTAAAGCTTGCCTAGGGCCCCCCAACATGGGCTGTGCCCAGCACTGATCACAATGACGGCGAGGCACTAAAATCCATCAAACTGAAATTTAACTCAGGTTGGGAGGGGGGGTTGAGATGATAGGATGCTGATATATATGGAGTTTTATCAGAGGCAAGAAAAGCATTTTAGGATGGCTAGGATTAATATCGTACATCTGTACAATCTGCCTTACATTGTACACGGAACACAATAAACTCCTCGGTAATCTCTGCAGTGGGAGACCAAGAAATATAAGCAAACATAAAGAAAAAAAAACCTCTGTAAGCCAGTGCAGACGAATTCCCAAGATACTAACTGAATTACTGGTGCTTTTTGAGTTGCATACTGACCTTATATCTAAAAAAGAGCAGGAAAGTTCAAGAAAGGAAGGAGCATGGGAGGGGGCAATTTTATCAACAGTGCATAGTATGACTCCTCTTGCGACCTGATTTCGTCACATAGACTGGATTAGGTGGAGAAACCCTGGGCCCTTGTTCAATAAGGATGGGTTTGACTGGTGCCACATGAATCGAAACGGCCAGTCTGCCCTGCATCTGTAGGACCGTGGAGCTCCCATTGGCAGGGGTGACACTGGGGACCCCCAGGAGACCTGGCAGTGTGGGGGGTGTGATGTGGGGGGGCAGCATTTAGCTTGAGAGTCTGTGCTGAAAGCAATGCCGCTAGACTCGAGAAGGGCAGAGATCATCCTCTTCAAAGGGTTTTCACTGGCTTTTAGTGACTAGATGATTCATAGCAGTTTGTGTTTAAATGCAAAGCTCACCTCTCTCCACTGCTTAGACTCCACCCCCTGGGTGTACAGGACGCACACTGGAGAGAAGAGGAGAGGGACAAGTTAAATGCCACCGCTTCACCAGCAGAACCTCTCAGACAGTACGGATATACCCATACAGGTAACATTCTAACACTAATGGAAGCAAATAATCACTGCAATCAATGATTTTTTGGATAGAGGATGACAGAGAATACAGGTGCCCGGGAACAATTCAACTGTAACATTTTTGGAGCTTGCAGAAAGATCGCAGAAACTCGCAAACAACCAAAGAAAACACTGAAAATAATTTGGATCACATAACATCACACAATACACAAATATTAGTGACACATAAAATTTGTCAATGTACTGTAAGTGCATACTATATCTTTAATATTAAAATCTTGGCTTGGGTACATCCTGCATTTTTGTCGGCAACCAGCCTCACTCACGTGTTAACCGTGTTTGTGACCGTGGAATCTCGCCTTTCTCGCAGTAACTTTTAAAGTTATGAATGTCGTTAGTTTTGCATTTTTAATAATGAGCCTAATAAGTAGTATTCCCAGTGCGTAAAGTAGTAAAACAAAGCGAAAAGCAGAAAATCAAAGTGTACAATACAGTGCTGTTTCTTTAGCAGCTGATAATAAATAGACTTTTCATGTTATCGTTCAGGCTAGAAGACTGTTATGGGTAGCGGTTAGGGGTGCCTTCATTTATAATGAAAGTATTATTTGCGGATTGTCACATTTGCAGGGATCTTCCGCCCTTAACTCTCACTAATGTGAAAGGGTTTCTGTATTGCTAATGATGAAAATAATACAAACCAGAGGACGAAACCTCACGGTTTGCCATGAGAGTGTGATGCGTGTTTCATAGGACGGCAGTAGCAGACGACTACCGAGATAAACCTGCCAACGAAATGCACTCGTTGTGAGGATGTTTCCAAAAAGTGGCAATAAAGTTATTGTGATCTTGCAGTGGGTAAAAATATAAAATCATATCTTTTCTTTTTTAAATTTATTTAATAATAGCACATTGTACATTGACCCGGGTGATAAGATTAGCTTTCATCGTTTGCTAAGCCTTTACCTGGCAACCGAACTTCTTATTGTTACGTGAAACTGTTAGCATCTGATGCACAAATGAGCGTAACATGATGTAATTATATATTAAGTTCAGTACACCGCCATGCACGGAAATTCTGGCGGGAAAACTTGTAAGCGCAGTAATCCAGTACTTACATGGGTCCGATTTCGAGAAGGTGTCTTTGTCTAAAAGGTTCCTGCAGAGAAGGAAAAATAACATTAAATGATCAGTGTTTAGCAGTTAGATTTTGCGTGTGAATTTGTGAATGGAAATTAAAACAAATATTAAGATGATTAAGACAAAATAAAACTGTAACTGATAAGGAAATCAGCTGCATATACAGGGAGTAGATAAAATAAAAACACTACATAGAAAAATGACTTTTAATGTGAAGTACCTAAATCCTAATTAGAAACTGAGCTGCAAAGGGGACTTTTGAATGCCAATTAGCAGTAAGTCTCACCTATAAAATCGGTGCAACAATCAGTATTGTAACAGGGAACTTTTCAAAGGAAAGGCTTCCAAAGTGTCCAAAAAATTGCCAGAACTGCAGGAATAAAATGTTTTTTAAAAAAAACTGTAAATTATTGGTCTAAAAATTATGATAGCAAACTGAGACAGAATTCAATAGCAAAGAGAAACAGTGGTGGCAAGTGGGAGCTTGTTGACAGGGACAGATGGACATGTAACAGGATAATCACAGTACAGCCTCAAAAATGACCATAGAACTGAATCAGCACCTCTGAAGCAGAGTATCAACAAAAACTGAACATTGTGAGCATCTTAAAGCTGTAATTTATGGCAGGGCAGCTATTCGGAAACCACATATATCCAAGGCCAATGCACAAGGATACCTGGAGAAGAGAGCAGAAAACCTGGACCTATGAGCAATGGAAAAAAGTAATATGATCTGAGGGGTCATCTTTCACTCTTTTTTTCTACATTAGGTTGTATTTATGCGCAAAATTCTACCCAAAATGCACCTTGGTATGGGCAGCTATCTTGTGGAAATCACTCAGTCTAGTGTTTGCTCTGCATTGTCAGATAACGGCCAAGATTCGTGCGGCCATTTTACTACACAATGTACTTGCTAAGGTGCAAACCATAGAGTAACTTCCAATTGCATTAACGTCCCAGGTCCATAGTAAATAATATGCACTGATCTAGAGATACCTGAAAGTGGACGTCGTAGGACGTTAGTGGGTGTATCTCGTAGTGTAACAGCTGCAGGAGAACAGACAGCACTGCCAGCCTTATAATGACTCACAGTCCATATCTAACTTGTAATACAGTATGCATACAGAAAGGTATACTGTATATGATGGACAGCCACAATAACCGAATATGATGCAGATACAGTACCTGTACAGTACAAAATATTTCATTATATAAAAAGAAACTTACTGTACTATACAATAAAACATTTTGTTGCGGCTTCAGGCGCCATCGTCTTTCTCAGCTCCCTTTGTTTGTTACCACGCACATCTTTTGCAAGAGTATTTTTCAATTCTCTTGGTATTTCGATAAACACCTTCATGAAGTCAAACACCTTCCATGTCCTCCCATGGCACCAGATCTACCCAATGGACCTTTATGGGAAGTTCTGGAGAGCAGGAGAAAGTAGATTTCCACCTCCTTCATCCCCCAAAGACCTGGAGGCTTTTGTCCTTGAGGAATGCTCCTCTACCTCACTACACACAGTGCAGAACTTATATGGCAGCGTTCTGAGAAGAAGTGAAGCTGGAGACAAAGGGTGGCCTGACTCCTTGTTGGGTTCTTGTTATTAATATGTTGATGGGTATTTCCATTATTTTGTCCACCCCCAGAAGAATGAAATTCATCATCTAGTGTCAGAACTATTTATCTGCATGCCACAAATTGGCATGATCCAAGCTGAATTATAACATACTGAATGTCCTCCCATCAAAATTTTTGTCCAGTTCCATTTGTTTGTTATTTTTAACCTCACAAGTGCCTCCTTCTCAACAGACAAGGTCCATGCCGACTCGGAAGTGGAGAAGAGAAGCACACACCTCCTCTAATGTGTGAACCATCAGCCATCCACGCCTTTGCTCTACAGGCTTGGATGTCACTGCAATTCACATTGACAAGGCAGGAGGACCGAGCTATCTAAGCAATCTGAGGAAACGTGAGTTGTGTCACATCATCTGAGAGTGGCATATTGGTGACCAAACCCTTTGCTTTGACCATTGAATGTTAACTGAGGATCTGATAGGATGGATGTGTGTGGGTGGATTATTGTAGACCTGGGGGATGTTATCAGCACTATGTTGTGGATAACATGTTGGATCTTAGCGCCTGAACATCTAGACCAGTAACCTAGTTAATGCTGATATAGGTAAGCTGATGGGTCCCTAGATGTTCTCAGGCCTCCAGGATGTTAATCATCTCCACTAGCAGAAAGGAAGATGCCCCAGTTCTTGAAGGAAACAGTAAAAGGAAGGGAGTGACTCACTGCAGGCATCGAAGGACCCATGGCATCATTTTTATACCGACTGGGTGTCAGCACATCACTTGCCCTGATTTGAGTGAGCCGGACTGGAGCAACCTTAGCAAATTCCAGGAATGATGACCTGAAGGGTCACACCGTGCACACTGGAACACGTAAGCTTTCTATTTTCCTACAGGCAGAGTGACCCCAGATGACTGACATGGTTCTTTGTACCACTGCTGTCCAGAGGAGAAAAAAAATCTATTCAGTGCAGTGATTATTGGGTAAAACGTCACTGTATCTTCTGTGTTCAACACTGTGGAACATCACGAGATTTGACAGACAGAGCACTCAGACAGACCTAGAAAAGGGGTATCAGGTGTGATTAGTAATGTAGCCCAAAATTAAGATCTTAACTCCGCCAGAGTATCAGCGACAAGAGTGTACGGTGTGATGTGAAGAAACAATGTTAGCCTGATTACAGCTTTTTATATAGCTATTTATACTTCCAGTCATAAATTCTGGATAATTTAGTCCCTGTTGGAGGGATTCGGCACATACTTGTCCCACTCCTGTGTTCCCACTGCCTGCGAATCAGTCTTTGAAGTTCAAATCCTCTGTCGATTGCCCTCGATTTGGGAAAAATCTGTGAGACGCCACCCCAAATCTGCCCTACTCACACCACAGTTAATTAACACCTATGGTAACACACGTAGCTTGCTGGCTCCTGTTCTCATCACAGTCTTACATTTTCATGTTACACAATTTACATTTCAGAACCGATGAGAAACTATCCATAAACGTGTACATAATTTCAAGCACTGATCAAATGCCAACAATGACTATATGTGTAAACCGATTTTTTTTTTCAGCTGCAACTATTAAGATGTTTTTCATCATATATGAAAGGCACAGTTTTAAAATTAGCAATAATAATCCTGTCAAGGATATTTGGACATTATAATATAATTATCACTGAGTTAACAGACAAGTAGGCTACGGAACATTACTTGCAAAGGTAACATAAATGACCGTGACTGATTAGAGTGATGAATTGCATGCTTGCCTTTGTAAAGATTATCAAAGTTATGCTTGTTAATTTATTCTTTAAAGCTCTGAATTTAATTATTAGATAGACATCACCCATACATGGTTAGTAAATGAACACAATTGCTCTCCTGTGTTTATTTGCTAATTTTTAATTACTTGCATTAGTGCTGTAGAACTTGAAAAACTGTTTTTGTGGTTTTTATTAATACTGCAATTATTTAGCAGCCTTTTATCCAGAGTGACTTACAATTCAGAAAGCAGGGTCAGTCAATCTTTAACATGGGGTTAAGGACCATGCTCAAGGACCCACCAGTGACAGCATTCAACTGAGTTTGGGGTTTGAACCAACAACCTCCCGATCACAAGGACAGCACCCTAACCCACCGAGTCACACACTGCCTCTCACTACGGATAGTACCTGTCAAAAGTTTGGATATGCCAAGCCGCCTACAAAGGAGAGTGATAGTGTCGCATCACATGACCTGGCCACCTGACCTAAACGCTGTATAAATGGTTTTGGAAGTTAACAGTGAGTGCTCAGCAGACACGTGGGATCTCCTTCAGGACAGTTGAAAAAGCTTCCCAGGAAGCCATGTCATGGAATTGGTGTAGAGGAGAAAGTAGGGTCAGCCAGTCCCCAGAGAAAATGGGGTTATGGGCCTTACTAAAGGGCCCGATAATGAGATCACTTTGCCAACCATGGGATTTGAACCAGCAACCTTCCAAGTACCAACCCACAGAGCTGCCCTCCCCCAACAATTTTTTAAATACTTTTTTAATCAGTACATAATTCCATATATATTATTTTATAGTTTTTATGTCGTAATTCTAAACTGTGGAGAATAATACAAATTAACCTTTCTATGGGTAGGTGTGTCCAGACTTTTGACTGATACTGTATATGAGTAATAAATGATGGATTAATTTGTCTGTCTATCATGGGCAACTTACGACTCACAGTCAGGTTCGTGTCCCAGGAAGGAGTGACATGGGCCAGGGTGGAGTATACCTGGGGGTGTCTGGATTCACACCCCCCTGCAGTAACACAATAAGGGCAATTTAGATTCACCAGCTCCACTGAATGCCTTTGGATTATTGAAACAGCCAGAGTACTTGTGAGAAAACCACAAAAATGTGACCAAGACCATGCAAATTTAGTGGGCAAAAGACTGGAAATGCTACCAAAAGTTAATTAAATCTTTTTATGTTATTCAGAATAATTCCTTTATTTCTTTCTGAAGCTTGACGTCTTGCACCGGAGTTTAATGGCAGCTATTCAGAAACCGGGATGAACTGGAGGTGGGATAAATATAGAAGGAAGCGGAACAGCGGAAAGCACCACATTTCAGCCTAATTATCGCTCGAAATCTGCATTTTCTCTGTCTGCTAATGAAGGGTTTGGCAAATGGGCCCCCGCTTCGGCTTCGATGGAGCCACCCATCGTCAGCCCATCTACACCCCCGGCCCAGTGCTGTGGTCACTCTCCCGTTAACATGACAGTTCGCCATGGAAACCCGAGCTTCTAAGACGTACACATACCATGTGATAATTATCGAGACCATAGTGTCTTAGGCATGGGGCTGGAAAATTAAAGCATATTGAAGATACAGGACACCATGAGAGCACTTTTCAGCTGATGCAAATTATCTGTCCACAATACCTTACATAAGTCAAATTTTATGTTGGATTTTTAA